GAGACACAGAATGTGAAACAGGCTCCAGGCTCCGAGCCGTCAGCGCAGAGCCCGACACGGGGCCCGAACCCACGGATGGGGAGATCATGACCTGACCTGACCTGATCATGACTGACTGAGCCACCCAGGCGCCCCATGGGCAAAATTACTTCTAAACCAACATGTCCTTAATTCTTCAAGCTCTTAACTAATCCTTTAAATGCTTCAGGAATGACTGCTCTTCAGTGCCTATTAATTTAGCAAAAGCTCTCTCAAGTCCGACAAGGAAGGCTTTGGTTCAGCCCAGTGTTTGCAAAATGCCTTTGATCCTAGAACCTTTTTTTTTTTACAGTATTGATCGTAACTGTTAACACCTGATCAAACTAGCACGTGTCAGGGCGTGTGAGGAAAATCGTGGCCTGGACACTGCTCTGCACCCTTCACTCCCCTCACTGTCTGCTGTGGAAATCCTTTCCGGTCTCTTTGCTTGTGGATCTTCTTACGTGGTTGTCTCCGAATTTACAGGGAGGCTTCTCGGGCTCCAGTCCTTTGCTGCAGTGATTTGCCCAAAGTGGCAGGGCTCCCGAGTGGCCGGCCTGACTTCTCGCCCGGGGCCCTTTCCACGCCGCCTCCAGAAATGCAGTGCACGTCACCGTCCCCTCTCCAGAGCTGGCCACGGTGGGGACAGTTAGCACTGTGGGGCAAGCAGGAGAAGGTTCGAGTCCTGTGGCCGGAGGTTCATCATGGGGAGAGTGAGAGATGGTGGACCATCCAGACGCGGTGGCTCCTCGGGAACGAGACCACTGTCTCTGTGGCCCCTTTTCCTGAGCTGTCCCTCTGCTGAGAGCAGGAGACCAGGTCATTGGGGCGTCTGCTGCCCTGAAGCCGCACCGGCGTTCCTCTGTCACCCTGCCGTGTTACCTGGCCAGGGATCACTGCCCTTGGCATTTCGTGGAGCTTGTACAGAAAATGACTCACCCGCGCTGAGTTAATGTTGGTGGCGGTGGGCGACGTTTTCTGAGCAGAAAGACTTCCCTCACGTGACCCCGTATCTGGGAGCTCTGCACACCCATCCTCTGGCATAAGCCTCTGATGGGAAGACCTGATATGTTTTCTGGGGATCTGTGACTCCCGAAACAATCTCGTGAGCCACCTGCGAGCAAGCAAGGCAGGAATATCCCCTCTGTTTCACAGATGAGAGCAGAGCTTTAGAGAGTTCGGATCTGGGCCCCCAGGGCATGGTCCACCTTCCTCCCTCAGGCCACACATCCGCCCTGCCCCCCTCAACCCCCTCTGGGACCTGGACGTCCCTGCCACAGAACTCCT